TGGGTACTGGGGAGCAGAGACCAACCCCCCCTCCCTGCCCCCTCCTGTCAGGGAGCTGTGGAGAGCGATGAGGTCCCCCCTCAGCCTCCTCTTCTCCAGCCTGAGCAGCCCCAGCTCCCTCAGCCGCTCCTCATGGGATTTGTTCTCCAGACCCCTCCCCAGCGTCACTGCCCTGCTCTGGACACGCTCCAGCCCCTCCATGCCCTGCTTGGGGTGAGGGAACCAAAGAAGAAGAATGACCATTTATAGGTCATTTAAAGGTATAGCTGCTGTCTGCATCGGGTGGGCTGTGGCCAGGATGGAAAATCACCGATAACTGAACTCAATCACCTGGAGACCCTACAAACTGCAGTACCAAGGGAGGCTCTTTGAGCTCTTCTGGCCCGCAGCGGACCAGAAGTCCTTCCTCCAGTAAGGGCTCCAGTAAGGGCTCCAGTAAGGGCTCCAGTAAGGGCTCTGAAAGTTACTGGGACGCTTCCCAGGGTAACTCGCGAGCTATTTGGACTGGTCCCCTTGAGACTCCACGTTCACCCGCTGAGAAATCACAGAATCACAGAATGGTCAGGGTTGGAAGGGACCTCTGTGGGTCACCCAGCCCAACCCCCTGCCCAAGCAGGGTCACCTACAGCAGAGAAATCCTTTGATTTGAAGTCAGTATTTCACCGAACTCGAAGGGAATTCTTGCGTGTGAGCGTGTGCACCGATTCAAAGCACAACGCCCGATCACTGCGATGTCGTAGTCAACTCTTTCCAACTCCTCTGTAAGCGCCGCGTTAACCAGGGATTCATAGCCACTAAATCCCTGAGACTCTCTCTCTCTCTCTTTAAACTGCAGCACACCTTGAACTGCGCTCACCACATTCCTCCGACAGCACCCGCTGCGGTCTCCGCCCGGCTCCGGACACCCGGGCTCCTCGCTGGGAGCAGCGTGGAGAGCAGGGGGCCAGTCCGAACCTGGGGGCTCTGCGGGAGGGTCTCCCTGCCCCTCACGCGCTTCTTCCACTCTGTATAAATCATTTTCTGCTCAAAACCCCCTTTGACCTTGTATTCCATTTATTTAAGAAGTAACAGAGTGAACCTTGCTGGCGAACTCTGTAAGATCTCAATTTCTACATTTTCAGTAAGATCTTTTCTTGCAAAACCCAGCCCTGGGAGGACTCCGCCGCGGCAGCCTCCACCCAGCCCAC